CCAACACGGCTGGATCTATGCTTTGAAAACAGCCAGCCAGGCCAGGTCCTTTGGCAACAGTCTTATAGTCTCTGCATAATTGTATGCACTTACAGCTAAGGTCACCAACAGGCCTGGAGGAAAAAAAATCCCGCTTCAATTATTGCTCTCAAGTTGTTCTTTTAGTCCCAAGCAACTGCATGGAATAGTTTCATACATAGATTTTTTAAAATGACTGTCAATTGAGGAATCAAGTTGAACTGTCAAATCAGTTTGAGGGCTCCCACAATCCTGGAGAAAAATACCCTGTTGTTTTACTTATTGTATAGGTATGGGTTATTGAAGCTTTTTATGGCATAGGTAAAGGTAAAGGTTCCCTTGCTCGAAAGCCAGTCGAATCCGACTCTAGGGTTGCGGTGCCTCTAGGGTGCGCTGTCCGAAGACGTTTCCGTGGTCATGTGGCCGGCATGACTAAACACCAAGGTGCACGGAACACTGTTACCTTCCCACCAAAGTGGTACCTATTTATCTACTTGCAATTTCTTGCTTTCGAACTGCTAGGTTGGCAGGAGCTGGAACTAGAGACGGGAGCTCACTCCGTCATGCGGCACCCGGGTTTCGAACTGCTGAACTACTGACCTTCCACAGCCTGCAGTTCCATTTTTATGGCATAGAAGTAAATAAAACCACCTGGTAAACAACAGCTCATTAAATCCTGTATTTAACAGACAGGGCATTATTCCCTAGGCCTGTTGGCAACTGTACCTACAGCAAAGTGTGTTGGAAGAGGAGACCAAGATGCTGTCTCAAGCCTCAGCCTGGGGGGGGGGGGGTTGCAAACAAGTCAGTGAGATAGGCAGACTGTGGGTTTTCTTCCTGTTTTACTCTCCTATCACTGTCCCTTTGAAGTAGACTGACAGATCTCAGGGAAATTGCCTTTCTTTCTTCCCTTCCCTCTCTCACCCCACCCTCTTCTCTTCTGAAAAGTACTGAGACTAACTAGTGAATTCAGCTCTCATACTTTATTTCAGCTCAGAACAAGATGAGAGTACCCAGCTCGCAGGCTGGTTTATATGTGCACAAACCCTGCTCCCCACCACACCCACACACAAGTGATTGGCTATTTACAGTGGCCGAGAGTTCCATAGGCTCTCGGCCAGGATTGGGTCTTTGGCAGTGTGGCACGCCACTTCCCGAACGTGCACTGGTTGATCGGGAAGAGCCTCCAGAAGCGTGACTTGATGAGCGGGAGCTGGGTCCGGACCCTTAGACGGCAGCGGGAGACGGCTCAAAGCGTCAGCATGTCCCATCGCTTTCCCAGGCTGATGGATGAGCGCATACGAGTAACCTGCCAAGAAAACAGACCAGCGGAGCACCCGGGGAGACATCATCTGGGGAGTTTGGCGGTCTGGGGGCAGGAGGCTGAGGAGCGGTTTATGATCCGTCAGGATCATGAATGGCCGACCGTACAAGTAATGGTGAAATTTTTTCACCCCTGCCACAATAGCTAGCGCCTCCTTGTCAATCTGTGCATAGTTAACCTCCCAGCTGTCCGGTAACTGGTGGCCCAAGACCGCCCCGACCCCGTACGGAGAGGCATCGCAGGCCAGGACCATGGGAAGGGCCTCATTGAAATGGGAGAGGACTGAGTTGGAGACAAGAAGGTCCTTTACCGCCTGGAAAGCGGCAGCGTGCTCCGGGCCTCAGCCCCACGGAGCGTTTTTGTCTAGCAGGCAGTGCAGAAGTTCCGCCACAGCGGCCTTTAGAGGGAGAAAGGAGTGATAAAAATTTAACAGACCTAAGAAAGCCTGTAATTCAGTCTTGGACGTAGGTGGGGGCGCCTGTGAGATAGCCGTCGTCTTTTCTTCTGTGGGGTGAATTCCCTGGGCGTCCACGGCAAACTCCACCTTGGGAAACCCGAGCAAGCATTTCTCTCGCTTGACCTTCAGGCCGGCTGTGTCGAAACGCTGGAGCACCGCCTGCAGCCGGTCGGCGAAGGTTGAGGCATCCGGGGCTGTGATGAGCACGTCATCTAGAAATGGCTGCACTCCTGGAATACCTTTTAACAAAGTGTCCATGAACGATTGAAAAATTCCCACTGTGACCGATACCCCAAACTGGAGGCTAAGTACTTCGAAAGCCCCTTTGTGCATTGCTATCATTTGGGCTTCTGCCGTGGCAGCATCCACCGGCAGTTGCTGGTAGTCCTGGGCCAAGTTCAGCTTGCCAAAAATCCGAGCCCCAGCCAGTGCGGCTAACACGTGGCTGACCACCAGTACTGGATAAGCGTGGTCTTGGAGGGCTTTGTTCAGAGTGCACTTATAGTCCGCACAAATCCGCACGTCGCCATTAGGGGTGACTATTGGGGTCTCCCACCATGCGGAAGCGACGGGCTCTAACACCCCCTGGGCAACCAAATGATCTAGCTCCGCCTCGATCTTTGGCCTCATCGCAATGGGGTGTGTGTGTCTGGCCTTATCCCAGATGGGGCGGATAGCCGGGTCGAGGAAAATGGGGGCTCCTGTGTAGCAGCCGAGTGTGCCATCAAGGACCCTGGGGAACTCATTGCACACAGCCGCGAAATTCTCAGCCCAGAGCTGATTAATTCCCCCGATCGTCAATCCCAGGGGCCCGAACCAAGAAAGTCCCAGCAGACTGGAGAGCCTTCCCCCCACCACCAGCAAGTCCAATTTTCCATGGAAGTCCTGAAACTGCACCATAAACCTGCCCCAGCCCCGCCACAGGGTTCTTGTTAAAGTCCCATAACTTAAACCCCTGTGGCTTCCGCAGAGGGGGGTTCCCCCTGTGGGCAGAGCGAGCGCAGCGTTTCCTCCAAAATTAAGGAATAGTTAGAGCCAGTGTCCAGTTCCATGCTGCAGGGGGACCCCTCTATTAGCACCGTCACG